ATAGAAACAAGTGATAGTCAGAGGGAGCAACGTCTGGAGAATACGGGGGGTGGGATAGGGGATTCCCATTTCAACGTTTCCAAGTATGTCTTAACCACTTTCGCAATATGAAGTCGAGCATTGTCATGCGGTAAAATCACTTTATCGTGTCTCTCGTTGTATCGCGGCCGTTGTATTGCAGTCGTTTGTCTTTCAATGCTCGGCTCAAACGCATCAATTGCGTTCGATACCGATCGCCTGTGATTGTTTCAGTCGGTTTTAACAGCTCATAATACACTACGCCGAGCTGATCCCACCAAATACAGAGCATAACCTTGGAGCCGTGAATATTCGGTTTGGCCGACGTGGAAGGGCCGGGAATTCCTCATGATTTTCTGTGCTTGGGATTATCGTAATGAACCCATTTTTCGTCCCCAATCACAATGCGATGCAGAAATCCCTTCCGTCTTTGCCTTTCAAACAGCTGTTCACAAGCAAACAAATGCCGTTCAACATCTCTCGGCTTGAACTCGTACGGCACTCAATTTCCTTGCTTCTGAATCATTCCCATGGCTTTGAGGCGTTTTAAAATGGCTTGTTGAGTCACTCCCAATGATCGTGCTAATTCTTCTTGATTTTGACACGAGTCTTAATCAAGTAATGCCTCCAATTCTGCATCTTCGAAAACCTTCTCTCTTCCACTGCTATGCCGGTCTTCGACGTCAAAATCACCGTTCTTGAAGCATTGAAACCACTCACGACACGTTCTTTCACTAATAACAGCTTCACTATAAGTATTTGAGAGCATTCGATGAGCCTCAGCTGCAGATTTCTTCATATTGAAGCAGAAAATTAAAACCTCCCACAAATGACGAGAATTTGGCTCGTAAACTGATATTTTCAATCGAGAATAACTTTATAATGTGTGTAAATCGACTAATGTTTCTATGGGGTTATGTTGACAGATGCTTAAGTTTATTGTATGACGATTATGATCTATTTATTTCGACCACCACTTACCGCTAAAGCCATCTATAGGAAAACGGCGAAAGCAAAGTTGTACACTTAATAAGGGGTGGCACCCAGTTGGACACGGCTCAATTGGACACGAGCCACTTACAGCGCTTGAGATTACAAAGCTCCTAAGCACCGGTCGCTGTGATTGGTGGTGTCCAATCGAGCCGTGGTCAATCGGGATCACCCCCTAATAAGTCGCCCGATGCGGCTAATCGTCTTGTGGATAACATTATCTTTCCGAAACATAACCTACGCGCATTTATACCAGCATTTAAGGTACTCAGGACTGGCGTTATTCAAGACGTGCCGACGCAAATAAATGATGGGTCGCTCAAGAACTGCATCGAGTCCCCGAGAGCTAAAATTTTGGATGTGCAAAGACTCAATCGTAGAACCGTTTTGGATGGAAAAGTCGAATACGTCCCAGCAAGGACGATTCGTATTAAATTCGCAGGCCAGTTGCTTCCAAAATTCGTCTATATTTTTAAGGTCCGACATGAGGTTCGTTCCTTTATCCCTCGACTAAGAACATGCAACGCTTGCTTCAGAACTGGGCACGTGCGAAGCGCTTGTAGGGGCGCTCCTAGATGCCTTTACTGTGGAGGCGGTAAGCATAATGTATCTAATGATACCTGTCAGTTGCAGGAAGGGACGCCAAAGTGCATTAACTGTCAGGGCGAACATTGGGCTAATTCTAGCGAATATCCTGTGATCAAAAGGCAGCATGCTATTGTCAATATTGCTACGGTTCAGAATATTTCCATCGCAGACGCCAAAACGATAGCGAACTCAGGAAAGTCATCGCCCATGGCCGCTTCTAGTCCTTATAGCTTATCTAGCTTTCCTGCCCTACCGGATAAGGGGAATAGTGCATTTATTAGACTTAATAGATTTGGTCCTTTAGGTGTGGATGAACAGGAGGATGACCTCCCTACTTATGCGAACGTCCTTAAATCTCGATCACCTCTTCGATCACAGAGACCAAGGAATGATTTCAACAAAGAAGATTCTTCGCGTCATCCGCAAAGGTAGAGTACGCAATACAACCTCGAAGAGCTTCACAACAGTTTGAACGAGGCTAATGGCAGGATGCCCAGTATTTCTGGCAACGGTGTTGCTTTTCATGGTAACACTGGAACTCGATCGAATTCACCTGGGACAGGTAAAATCGGTAGGGCGGCCTCTGATGCCACGGAGCTTATTCTTCTGATCTCAGAAATCATCACACATTTTCAGAATGGCAACTGGCCTAGCATCTTCAATTCTGTTATAAGGTTAGTCAAGAGTCTAAGTAATATGTTTGGGCCTTCCCCGTCTCCTCCGGGGGGTGAGAGTTCAGCTCCCTATCCCAATTTTTCAGAGAATCATTTTTCACAGCAATCCCCAGTATACAGTGACTACTGTGAGTATGATCAGGTAATTAACGCTAGATTTCGCCATTAATATGGAACCTCCACAGGTGTCTCAGTTGGTTTCCCCTCTCGGCCCGGGGGGGGGGGGG